ACCCCCCCCCCCCCCATGCTGCCAGCAAAGCTTACTTAAAGTTCAAGTGCTTATGTATACAACTTTTCTTTCTTTCATTCCAAATGTAAGTAACAATGCCTTTACTAATACAAAATATCAAGGTACTAGGAAAGAAAACCATGTCATGCGAATGGTCTGAGCAATTGCACCACCAAAACCCACATCTAGCAGATGTGTTACACGAACAGATCTAGCATAATAATTAGGGCAGTGTTTCAAAAATAAGGCTTTTAACTAATATACGAGTGCATGAATATGTACATGAAACGAAATCAGCGCCTCCTTTCTCTTGGTGGCGAGTTCCCAAGCGGCAATCAGATGAACTAAGTTGGATTTACAAAATGAATTTTCAATAAGGACACATGATTATATAACTTTAGCTTACCATACAAAATCATTATCTTTGTCTTCATACGACCCAAAAAGTCCATTATGAACAGGAGGCTGAGGTCTTTTCCGACGCCGATTTGATTGCTGCGTTCTTGGTCCAGACATTTTGACCCTCAGATGCACCCCATCAACTTTTCACAACTGAAAATTCCGTTGTCTATTATGTCAAAACATAATTTGCGCAATAAGCTCTACAGATAAGTAATTGCTTCCCTTCGTGCACTACGCATACGTCATTTCTGTGGTTTCCTCTTGGAGATTTTGACTAATTAGGTGACGGGAAACGAAATGTTTACCTCTGTCCAGGTTCACCAATAAGAGCGCATGCGTTTCCTCCCAGAATTCCTGCACACATTCCTTCAGAAGAAATTTTCTTACACCATAATAAAGATAGCCCCGCTCTTCTAAATATAAACTAGTTTATTTCTCCCATTTCAACTAATAATATTTTTGAACATAATATTTATGTGAATGGTTGCTGATAACAAAATACACATATAATTTAATGCAACAAATACGTTAACAGTGTCATTGTTTTAATTTGTTGTAAGCAGCCTTATGATAATGGCGACTCCCAGGTGTGAAAGCGGCGCGCAGGTATAAAATATGTTTTAAGAAACAGAACGTAACAGATAAAGACATTCTTTGACGGGGCTTATTTACTTTTTATTATATGGAAAGCTCTATCAACAGTGCACATGTACCTTTAACTGCATTACAAGATTGATTTGTTCATTTCCCCTTCCATACATGTACTGTACATACAGTACTGTAGGGTACAGTATGTACCTGTTGTAGCGATTTGGGGGGAGAAAGCACCAAGGCTCGAACGGGATTCGAGCCCGGCACTCTCGCAAACCGTTCGACCGCTCTTACCGACTGAGCTACCAGTATCAACAATTTATTAAATTTTAAAGCAAATCTCCCATCTGAATGTTTTAAAGGTACACTTCACGGGCGTGAAAATCACCAAAAATGCTTATTTTTGCCATCCAAAAACAAGTCAACAGACTGTTGACAAACTATTTTTGGTTCCAATAAAGTATAAGTTTTGGTAGGAGTTTCTGAAGATATCTGTTTTTCTTTGCAGAGGGTAGAAGCATTTGCTGTTGTTTGCTGTGTTGTTGTCAACTAGCTGTCAGTGTTTGACGTATAGTAATCATTGCCAATAAATCTAGTAAAGAATTTCTTCATCTGTTTTTCAACAGTCATGGTAAATGCCTGTTTTAATCAGTAGTTCACACAAGTTAATCTCTGCACTCTGATATTTCAATTTCCATCTTGAAAGCTTTCTTTAGGTATGCTAATAGTTAAGCTGATAGCACACCTCAGAGGTTACAATCACATATTAGTCTAATTTCGTATGTTAGTGGGAATTTTTTGAAGTACTGGTACAGCTGAAACAAGTTGTGAAGCCCTTCTTCTAAAACATCATAATTTTTTTCTTTAATTTTAAACAAATTAGGAAAAAAACAGATTATTATATTGTCTTTCAAACCTTTCTTAATCTGAACAACACTTTCTGAACACATTGCTAAGTGTATATGCCTATGGCAACATGTCAGTAACTGGCATGAAATGGAAGGTACTCCTGTTTTACTTTAAGTATTTGCACATATTTTGCCTTAAGCAGACATAAAAAAGGAGTGCTCATGCAAGAAATTTGTGCAAATCGGCAACCATATTTGACATGAAAATTCATCCTAGACACTGTGTTGATGGTGCTTTGCTTCTAACTTTGACTCTATGTCAGGGCTAACCCAAAAGAGCTGTTGTCTTTTGCATCTAGTGGCCCTCCAAATGACAAACTAGTAAGCAAACATTCAATGCAGATCTTAGCTAGATTCCACAGAACAATATGAAACTGTTTTTGTTTTTTTGTTTTTTTTCAGTTACTTGCCCGCCTGGGTACAAAACCAGATCTTATGTATGTAGAACCTCATCTTCTACCCAGTGGTCCACAAAAGAGAGATGTGATAGAGTTATATGGTGATGAAGGATGCGGTAAAACAGAAATGCTGCTCCACATTATCTTAAATACCATTCTCCCACGGAACTGGAGAGGATTTTCTTTCTATGGTCAAGAAGCTGGGATAATTTTGATAGACACCGACTATCACTTCTCCATTTTGAGACTGTCAACACTGTTAGAAAACAGAGTTGATAGAGTTGTCTCAGAAGCTACTGGACTCCAGAAAAATGGAGACTTAATACCCCAGAATGGGGGTATAACCAGTAATACAGGGTACAAAGACTTACCAGAACAAGAAAATCCGAAACTACCAACTCAAACTGACAAGGAAACTTTCATAAAATCATGTCTCAAGCGTTTATTTGTTTTCCGTTGTTCAAGTCCAACACAGCTTATTGCCACACTCCATTCTTTAGATGCTCTGCTTTTGAATAGACCAGAAATATGTATTCTGATGTTAGACAGTTTATCTGCATTCTATTGGATAGATCACAGTAATGGTTGTGACAGTGCAGTAGCAAGGGAGAGTAATCAGAGACAAGTGTGCAAGATTCTGAACAAACTCATAACCTCGTATAATTTAGTAATATTTGCAACAAAACCAGCAATCATTCACAAAAGAAATAACCTAGCATTGGATAAAACAGAGGAGAAAGATTGCACTGGAAATCCAAGTATTCAAACTGGTGATAAATCTTCTGACCACTGTGAATATTTATGTAAAGCCTGGCAGAAAATGGTTTCTTCTAGGTGGTCATTTAGCAAGGGACAAGGAAACAAAGTAAAACAATCAGTAAATGCACAAATGTTTATTTTAAAACTTTTCAACCTGACATCCAGTTTTCTCTGTCAAGAGAAATTCATAGTTTCTGAAAATGGAATTGAATATATTTGAAAACGGCATAATATCAGTGTAATAAAATGCAAGAGCGCCATTTAAAAAGTTATTGGTGAGGTTTCCAAATTAAATGCAAGCAATTTTATACCAATTTAAGCGTTTTAATTTCTTTGCAAAATACACTGCTACTGCTGTATTTCTCAGTACAAAAGAAATTCAAAATAATTGTCCAATGTTTTTCTTAGACATAATTCAATATTCACATATAATTACAGCCTACTTTGAAGTGAGAGTGATAACAAAATTTGTGATTTAAGACAATTGTTCTACTTTGTCATGATGAGTAAACTTGGTATATTGATATCTCTTTGTAGTATTCAGTGAAGACAATGAAGACTGGAACATGCAAATACGAATGTAATATTTGCAATTGGTCAACAGTGTTTTACTACATAATTGTTTAAGGGTTAAAAAGGCAAGTTGCATCAATTTTGTTAAATTTCCAACCAAAAATTTAAAGAAAGGAGCAGTCTAAAGTTCTTTTATGGCTGATCGAGTGATCTATTCAGTTTATCCTTTGGCATGTCGAATTTATTTGAGTCGTATAAGAAACTAGTAGAAGTGGTTTACATGTGTTACTGTGAATCCGCACTCCATCGATGCTCGGTTCGTATGTATCTTTAAAGATTATCTTATTAAAAGTGCAAATAATTCAAGTATTTTTCAAACTTGCAGTTTTGCTTTACAACACATTTCTCTTTGGAATAAATTGTATTTTTATTTTGGACCCACCAGCCTTTGCTCCAATTTTCTATCACTTGCCATAACGCTATTATAATCTAGGAAAAACAAAAAATCATTAATTAAAAACTAATTTGAATGCTTGAGTGTGGGTTGTCCAGATTCTACCATCACTTCAAGAACCAACTTTCTGGTTGTGCAGGATTCAAAATTGTATCAAGATGGAAAAGCAGTGGCAAGGAGAATCAGAAGGTGATAAATGTGGTTATTTTTGGAAACATTTGTTCAAGGCATTTATCTGTTTAAAAAATAAAAACAAGATTTGCTTGCCTTTAGATAAGTTCAACAAGAAGTAATTGATGTACTATTAGGTTTAAAAAAAGTGTTTAAAACCTTGGTATATGCCCTGGCCCTTTAACAAAACATACAGGTACAGCAGAAACAAACAAATTGAAAATTGCTAATAACAAAACATTTATTCAAGAATCAATATAAATGCTGTGCCACACATATGAAACTCAAACAGCATGTTATCTACATTGGTGATATACTAGTATAACATTCTGAACCAGAGTTCGTTTACTCAACAACTTCAGCTGAAACACTGCCACTATAAGAAATGTCCAATGTATACCCCTGCAATATACAATTATTCTGTGTGCTCATTAAAAGGCCCTTTATTTCATTTAGAAACTAACACACTTCTTCTGTTGCTTCAAACAAAAACAAAAAATTGCTGTTTGCACTCAAATTATTTTTCTTTGAAAAGGAATAGAGACATACTACCCCTGTAGGTGTGACCACTACATCAAAAATAACCAACTGCTGAATATTTTCCAAATAGATCTGAATGGCATCACTTGAAATTAACAGAAAGTCACTGCTGCATGTGGTTGACATATGATTGCTATTTGGCCTTAGCTAGAGTTAGTATTTCTTGGAGGATCTGATCCTTTGTTTTACTGGCTAGTGACATACTTGATTCTTTACCAAATTCTGTAAAGAAAAGATAAAATGTATCAAATGATAAACTGAAAAATATATTTCAATCAAATGTAAAATGCTGAAACAAATTGATGTGAAAGTGAAAGATGCAGGGACATGAAAGGATATAGCCAAAGGCTTCATTTCACATGTTTTGGAAAATTTGTTAAAAAATGAAGCTTAAAAATAATTATAAGAATAAAATTTTGTTTTTTATAATTTGAATGATGTTAATGTGTGAAATTTTCTGGAAACATTAGGCAAAAACATGGAGAAGAAATTTGACAAATGTGCCTGATGACACTGCACTGAATGAATTGAAAGAATGTTTATTGATGCCAAAAATCTTATTACAAGTAATCTGTCCATGCCTTGAAAAGGGCAAAAGCTTACAGATATTTACAGGATAACTATGTTCAGAAAATTTATACTACATCTATAGTGGAGTCAATTTTAGATAGCCAGTTTCAAAATCCTGACTAACCCCCTGAATGCGATACTTACCATATCTTGCATAAAGTACAGGTTGTACACCTTGGCACTCTCTTATTAAAATGGGAAACCTTGGGTTGGCCTGTTTCAAGGGCACATAATGATTTTCGATAAATTCCCTGAAAAATTAGTCAGTAACGCATGAATATGAGACTTATCAGTTACAAACTATGATGTTATAATGAAATAAGAGATAAATGTTCATTGTTTAAAATATATCTGTAATAATGTATTTCAATTACAAGTACTTTCCTCATGAATAGTTATCATGGTATATAGTAACAGATATAATACTGGTAGTACAAGTACATAACCATCTACATCACAACATATACATTAATGATTAGTGGCAAATGTTCAGGATCATTTGCCTTCTAGTTAATTTAGTAACAGGTTGATTTGCAGCACGAGATTTATGGATTAGCATTTCTCTTGCAGATTTTAAAAAAATTTACACTGTGCTAACATATCAAAAATCGTCAAAAGAAATATTAATGCACGAATTTCGTGCTAGCTGGTTTGTTGTTGATGTTTCGGGGGCGTCTCGATAGTCCGAAGGTTCATTGGTCCGAAAAGTGGTAACGTTTTCATCGATTTCTTAATCAAGGGTTCATTGGTCCGAAGGTTCTATAGTGAATATTCGGACCAATGAACCTTTGGACTATTGAACCTTCGGACTATTGCTACGGCCCCAATGTTTCAGTGACCTTTACAAGATGCTGAAGCCTGTGCTTCGGAAATTCACTGAATGTTGATGGTGGGCTATGATAATGATAATCCAAAATGTGCAAAAGAGATGTTAAAAATGTCTTTTAACTATTTTTAAGTTATTGCTCTGCGCAATAAAGTACATACGCATATCACTCATGAGAGCACACAATTTTTGTGAAAATAATACAACTCCGTTTAATTTTTTTGCTTAGATTTCGAGGGGAATCTCAAGTGAGGCAGAGCTAGCATCCACGTCTAAGACGAACAAGGTGACAACGTGAATTATATTTAGCTCAAATTTTGCGAAAGAAGCCGAGATAAACACTCGGAACTTATAAGTAAAAAAACAGTAACAACTTGACATTTCTATATTTACAATAAAAAAACATACGTTTGTCTTACCTAACACCCTGACTTTGTGGCGATTTTTGACAGAGATGGATTCGAAGCTCTTTTAAATGGTTACCAAATTTTGCTATCTTTCCGGCAGCCATTACGCTAGCTTGATGAACAGATTTGCCCGTTTGGTGACAAACTATGCAAGACAAGACTTTTATATTATTAAAATTATAAATAAACGCCATAGAATATTCTGCTTAACAACAAAATCATTTTATTTATATAAAGTTTTAATTTTGAAAATTATTATTAAGTCACGATCAAAATATATTACATAAGATTGTTAACAGTGTGGAGCTTTTCTCTGTTAAAACACCTGTAGCCCTCTATCGGTAGAACATTACAACCCATGAAAACTAAGTCAAAGAGAAATACAGTCTTCGCAAAGCCATTTAAAGTCGTTTGGGCAGAAAACATATATATTGATCAATTTATTTTTAAACATAAGTCCATAACAAACATAAGTCAGCTGGGTGAGTTAACAAATACAACATTTCGAATTATATTTTAAGACAATTTGCTTATAATGTTATGACATTACTCGATTTTAGTATTTATCTTTTATTTATATAACCGTAAACCTCTCTATTAAAATGTGGATAGCTATGATGGATTTAGTTAAGCATATGCCACAGTAATACTGTATAGTGGTAGAATACTCAAATTTACTTAACTGCAAGTTTGCAGCATACAGTATATTCGTCTTTGTTTGCTTTGTCTAATACAATGTACATGTATGTTGTTCCTCGATCTATGCATTGTTCTATTTTTTATTAAAACCAAATTTGGACGCAGTACACACACAGAAACGCACACACATACACACGCGTTTATATCTGTAACATAATCATTGTAAACATTTATCACAGTGCATTGTTTGATTATTCATGTATTCATGGTGAAATCAGAAGTCCACGATTCATTTGTTATTTTCTTCAGCATTTACTCATACGGTCGCAGTTCCAGCACTGTTGTCTACAACAAGACCCCACTGAACAATTTTGAAGGTAACAGTTGCTTTGCTTGCTTTATGCATTACGAGCATATAAGATATTTACCTTTTTGTTATGGCAGTAGATATTGATCAACACTAACAATTACATGTAAGAGAATTCAGATATAGGTAATAGTCTAAAATAATACATGTTATCGCGATAGACCATCTAGATTGATTATCATAGCCCACCATCTTGATTGAATAAAAGTGAAATAAAAAACTTTATGTCCCAAAATATCATAACTTAAGCTCATTCTTTATATGTCATTTTGATTTTCTTTCAGTTCACTAGCTTCAAAATGGACTTTCCTGGGGCATCTGATAATGGATACACTGACAGCTGTCTGGGAGGCAACTGTAAAGATATTTCTGCTCCAGTTCAAGATACACGAGATGTTGACTGTGACATGGGAACTAATCAGATGTTGATGCATGTTGCAGTGTCAACAGCAGTGATTCCTGAGGATACACAGACAACCAGTGGCGCCCAGCGACCTGCTGAACCATGTGGCACCACTTACCTAACAAACACACAGACAACCAGTGGTGTCCAGCAACCTGCTGAACCGTGGGTCACCACTTACCTAACAAATACACATGCAACCAATAGTGACATGAAAAATGCTGAAATGTGTGGAAACACTTATGAAACAAATGAGTTGTTGTCAAAGATCAAGCAAGAATTCCCCTTGGAATGTGATTTCATGAATGTGCCAAATGACAATCTTGAAAGTTATAAATTTTTAGAAGAAAATCATGTAAAAGAAGAAAACCATGTGTTCAATTTGATGTTGAACGAGGCTTTAAGTTCTTTTCAGTTGGGACTGGATGACTCTTTAGAAGTTCACGATGAGGTGCTAGAAACAAAAGATGTACAGCCAAAAAGAGAGCAATTCAATTGTAAACACTGTGACAAATCCTACAATTCCCAAATAAGTAGAGATTCTCATGAGAAAAGGCATCCATCAACAAAAAGAGACAAAAAGAAGAAAAGAGCATCTTTCAAGAGAGCAAACGTTCAACTTCTTGCACCAAAATTTTCAGACAGCAGACAAAGCACACACACTATTCCAAGGAGTCATAAAAGCAAAAATGAATTTGTAGACAAGCAAAAAAATGGTAAAATTAGAAAAATTCAAAAGAAAAAAATTGACCCCAAAATTTGTAAAAGAAAAAGCAGTCCAGTTGACCCGCAGAGAAACAAACAGGACAAGGTGCATACTTCTACTGAAACTAAAATTCAAGTGACTTGCAACAAATGTGGGAAATCATTTGCAAGTCAGCGCTATTTAAAGATACATGACCGCTGGCACACTGGAAAAGATCTCAAAAAGTGTGAGCACTGTGGAAAGACATTTGTATCCAACTCTCATCTCAATGAACACATTGGTACAGTTCACTCTGACATCAAAAGTAGTGGAAATGATAATGGTATAAATCAAATCAAAAAGATAAGGTGTAAAATTTGTGAAAAAAGATTTAGAAGTGAAAGTGACCTGCAGAGGCACCTACAGAGTGGAGTGCATTCTGCCACGGAGATTACCAGTGGAGTGGCTTGCGAGGATTGTGGAAAAACATTCGCAAGTCTGAGGTCCTTAGAAACGCACAAACGAAGGCACACTGGAGAAAATCTCCACACGTGTGAGCAGTGTGGAAAGGTATTTGCCTCCAAGTCTCAGATCAATGTGCACATTAATAAAGTTCACAACAATTTCGAACCCCCTTGCATATGTAGCATCTGTGGCAAGACCTTCGGGCAGAAGTACATGAAGGAGCACATGACGAGGATCCATGGAAGTGAGGGTGCCCAGAAGTTTGAGTGTTATCTTTGTGGGAAGGCTTTCTCTAAGAAATATCTAAATGAACATATGAGACAAGTGCATGGAAACCAACAATATGTAAAAAATGTTATGTGCACTTACTGTGGCAAGATGATAAGTCAGAAATACATTAAAACTCATGAAAAATTACATACTGGGGAAAATCTGCTGAAGTGTGAACAGTGCGAGAAAACATTTGCTAAAACTTCCCATCTCAAATCACACATGGAAACCCATACACCAGGATTTCACGTGTGCGAGATGTGTGGGAAGCAGTGCACCACAGGCTCAAACTTGAAGCGTCACATGAAGCAGCATAATGATCCGGAGTCGTACACTTGTAAGCACTGTGGTAAGGTTTGCTCAGATAAAGCTTACCTTCGTTGTCACGAGAAGATACACACGGGGGAAGGATTGTTTCACTGTGATGTCTGCAACAAGACCTTTGTCCGTTTATCACATCTACGCGATCACCAGCAATCTCACAACACTGCTGCTGTTTTAACCTGCAAGTATTGTAGCAAGGTCTTTAAAGGGCAAATTGCATTGAGAAAGCATGAAATATGCCACACCAGAGAGAGGACTTTCCCATGTTTGGTATGTGGAAAGTTGTTCTTTACTGCATCCCTGTGTAGAAGTCATGAACGTAGTACACATTTTGCTAAAAAAGATTTCATGTGTAGTTACTGTGGAATGAAGTTTTCAGCTAAAGGGAGGCTACGGGATCATGAAAGAATTCACACCGGAGAAAAACCATTCCCCTGTAATTTTTGTGAAAAGACCTTCAGGTTGAAAAGAAATTGTAAGCTCCATGAAATGATGCACAATGGAATAAGAAAACACTTCTGCCAGTTCTGCAGCAAGGGTTTCTTCCTGAAGTCTCACTGTCGAAGACATGAACTACATTCTCATATGAATAGCATAGATAAGCCCTTCCATTGTCAGTACTGCCCAAAGTCATTCACTCAACAACGAGGTGTTGATTTACATGAGCGTTTAATACATCCAAATGGACAGACTATTATTTACGACTGCAGTAAATGTGGGAAAGTATTAAAAAATAAGCGTAGTCACAGGAAGCATATTCGCCACTGTCAAACGAAAGGGGCGTATCAGTGCAAATTCTGCGAGGAGAGTTTGAACACTAAGCTACAACTGGTCATCCACGAGAAGTTGCACTCGGCACCGAAGCCATATGAATGTGAGGTCTGCCAGAGATGCTTCACATACAAAGTTCACCTGCGTAACCACATGAAACTTCACAAAAGGGAGAAGGATGCCCTTCAGCTTCATACACAAACAGTATCGGAGCTATGTCTTTCAGATGCATCCCTTGAAGTTGTTCAAACTTCATAGTTAAAACACAGCTTAACTAGTTGAGCATCAGACTGTGTCCACCATACATGATATAAAGAGAAAGTTTTTTAAAAAGAGGGTTTTGACAAATTTCACTTCTTATTTTTAACATTACATCTACATGGACTACATGTACTACTTTTATATAATTCCCTTTACAGTTTCATTAGATATGGAAATCGTTTATATATATAGTGTTTTTAAGCATATTGAGATATGCAGAGGTAACAAGTAAGATATTGCTGCATTCCTGGTCCCAGTCTTGGGATGAGTTGCAAGTGGTGCTTTTTTATTTATTTATAATTTTTTAAAACTGTTTTTAGAACACAAATTGGTGCTGTGTATCATAACGCATAATTATGTTTGATAGATAGATAGATGTTTAGTCTAGTGGATAGAGAAAATATCTGGTTTATGAATTACAGTTTTCTACAAGGTTGTGTTTGATTAGTAATCAAAGAGTTAATGATATTGACTGTTGTGTGTACTGGTTAGCGAGAAAGGTTTTGAGATCACAGCCAAGAGTTTGAACCCAGCTGGTGATGGTCTTGATCACGTAAGTTTTTTTCTTAATTAGATCTGAAACCTTGAATTACTTTAAGAGAAGGAGTTTATAGTTTTCTTGTTACTAATCTCTAATCCTTTTCTAAGTATTATTAATGTAGGAATTAAGTTTTGTATAGTAGACGTTTTAACATTGTACAGTGCATGCAAAGTTCTACATATTTTCATTTGTGTAAGGTAATATTTCAATTTATGTAGGTTTTCACTTTATTGATATATATATTGTGTGTATGTGAAGTGGATAGCATTTTGTATAGGTAAACAGTGCTGGAAATGTGGGTAGACTGGACTTATTACACTTCATTTAATTTAGTACGTAAACAGTTAGTAGCATGCCCCTGATGTAACCTCTGTTTGGTGCTCAAATTTTAAAAGCCACTCCTCTCTCCTGCTATATCACTATAGTTATAGACATGGCTATTGGCAAAACTGGGAATGTCATCATTCCCTTGAATTTGGCAAGTGACATGAATTTAATCACAAAAACAATATTTCTGGATAACATTTGTGGTGCTTTTACTGTATTGAAAAGAATTATAGAGAAGCCCTCTTAATTTAGTTGTTACCACTCACAAGGAATGTTCTAATTTAAAGAAAAGATGGAGTAATTACCATATTTTGTGTACTATATTAAAGTAACAAGTTCTACATCATTAGTTTTGTATAGTAGTACATTGTAGTCTAGTGGGCAGGTACATGTATAAAAAGTATAAGATGCACACGGTGGCATTTGGTTTTGCATTATGGACAGAATTTTGAGTCTAAGTTATATTTTACAAAAACCATAATACATATATAGTTTAAAATTGACAGGAATATCAATTCATGACTTCAAAAACAGAAAAACATTGATTAGTTTTTGAGAAATTGATAACTGATCGCCATTATGGAGGAAAGAAAGGACAGTCAACTTGTAAACTGCTCTGTTAGTGAGTTTTAAACAGCAAAAATAGATTGGAATGATTATTTAATTAATCTAGTTTTTTTTTCTTTAAATACAAAAGGTGATATTTGAAAAATATAAGTTTAAAATTCTGAAGTTTAAAAATGTCTGATTATGGTCAGAAAATGTGTCCACAGTGCAAAACTTATACATGGGCAATAAAAACAAGATGCCCTTTGTCACAACTCACCATTTCCATGGAAAATTAAATATCTCGCAGTGCACAAGTAATATGTAGTTGTCTTTAATATTGAATCAAATATATGTGGTATTTGTGTCCTGATCATATGAAATTTTCAAATGTAAAGAAATCAAAAGTTACCCTTTCTGAAAAAGAAGACTTCAGTGGTTATATGCATAAATAAGTTCTTGATTTTAAAGAGCCTCTTGACGAAAATGAATACGTTGGAATACGTTATGGACGGATTTTGATAACATTTTTGGAAATTATTGGGAGAAGATCAAATAAGAAACTATTACATTTTTGTTGTGATCCATTTAACGATTAACTAGTTGATTAACAATCTCTCTTTGTCTCCTAGCAAAATTATGCAAAAAGATACAGATAATTATATAACAATGATAGAAGTTTAAAGATGGATCACAAATGCCCTAGATTTTGGTGATGCTTAATTCTAATTAAAATCAATACTTTTGAGATTTGAGCTAATTGCATTGATAAATTAATAATGGAACTGAAAATAATTAATTAGTCAATTCATATTTAATTAACATTAATGCCAATGGTGTAAATATTGGCCAGTTTAAATAACGAGAACTGAGCTGCCTTGGCAGAGGTCTGCGCTTTTCTAGGATATGATTTCGTTTCAATGAGTCCATATTAACTGCCATTTTGGGTATAATTTGATATAAATTATTTCGTTTAAGAAATGACATTTTACACTGGCGGACTAATACCTGATATCTATGAAGGACAAGAAAGCTAAAATACCGGTACCTTATCCGATAATAACTCATAAAATTCAGTGGTAATAAACTCTGGACATCAATTATTACAATCTCCGTACACATTGTAATCACTAACTGATTTTGGAACAATTTCACGTGCGAATGACAAAATACGTTTTTATTATTCCGGTTATTAGAACTGGCTCTTAGAGTTTCTAACAACTGGCTTCCAACAACAGCCCAGTAAAACAAACGAAAAGGAAACGAAACTTTTCTCCGGTTTCCACGATACAGATTGCGTACAGCAACACCACACTAAGACAGTCGGGCAGAGCGGGCCGTAGCGATAGTCCGAAGGTTCAATAGTCCGAAGGTTCATTGGTCCGAATGTTCACTATAGAACCTTCGGACCAATGAACCCTTGATTAAAAAATCGATAAAAATGTTACCACTTTTCGGACCAATGAACCTTCGGACTATCGAGACGCCCCCGGGCAGAGCAACATCACGATACCCTTGAGATATACCAGGGCCACAGTGATGTATATATATACAGATAGCCTGTTGATTGATTTTTCTCTGGCTAATTATCTTGTCAGGTTTTACGTACGTATGTAGGTCGTGCAATATACGCACGCGTGTTGCTTCTCTTTTAAGTCGGACATAACTTGTTTTAGAAGCATACAATGCAAAAAAAGTTTTAGTGTTGATGAGTTGTACATCGGACATTTCAAGATAAGAATCAGTTTTATTGATTTGTTTACTGCAAAAAGAAAACATATTTGATTTCAATATTCATATTGAGCATGGACCCACGAAAGAATGATTAGTGTGTCCTAGAGTTGATAAGGCAAAAGTCGTTAAATTTATGCAAGTTTACTTTCAAATATTAATTAATGCGCGATATGCATTCTGCATATGAATAGAAAAAAGAGAAATCCTTTTCAAAGGCTGGTGCGAATATGTATTTTGTTTGAATGTGGCACATAAGTCTTGAATCCACACCGTCACTGCATCTGTCTTTCATTAAACCGTAGAAATCCTGAGTACTTGAAAAAAACCAAATAACTTACTTAAGCGACCGTCTCATTCTTTCGTTAAAGGTGGCAGACGTGCTGGGAGTCGCCGTTGAATGTTTTGATCGGTTTGATCGAATGGGCTGCTCACTGGTGGTAAATCATGTGGCACGGTGGCGCCACCAGTAGCCGAGACGTGAAGCACATCATCAGAAACAGATTGTTCGCCAGTTTTTCCAAACTTATCCTCGTGTGAACTGTCTGTGTCTTTTGATTGAAGCCTGTCGGAGCCCGAATGAGAAGGATTCGTTGAAAAGTGCTTCAGTGTCGGGGGGATGGCACCAGTCGTCGGAGGAACGTATGGAATCTCACTGGAACTTTCTTCTTGTGGGTCTTCTCTGCTGTCGTTTATATCTTTTTGAGTTGAAGATGGGTCTCCATTGTCTTCGCCTACTGGGGAAGTTTGAATTTTGCTCCTGAATTTAAATGTACATAAGCAGGTAAATCAATCATTGGTATTCGCACTATGTTTCTTCATGAAAGAATAGGGGAATAGGTTCTGCCAGACTTTTAAACATATCAACTGTTAGAGAAACTATACTTTGTAAATGGCGACCTCAACCTATTGAAATGATAGTTAGAGGTTGGCCCACAGCTTGCATTGTTTAAATGCACACGAGGTCGGCTCCATCAACATACAAATTAAGACATTCATAGTGGATATGAAGGGCACAACTTGAAGGGTGGTCAAGTGATCATGACATGAACACGGGGGGAGCGTCTCGATAGTCCGAAGGTTCATTGGTCTGAAAAATGGTAACATTTTCATCGGTTTTTTAATCTAGGGTTTATTGGTCTGAAGGTTCTATAGTGAACATTCGGACCGATGAACCTTCGGACTATTGCTACGGCCCCAACACATCCATGTCACTTGCTTAAACAGGAGCGCAATTTCAGTGCTTGCAATTTGTGCTATTTTCCGTCAATATAAGTCTGCATATATGTAAAGCTAACATCAGGGATGAAAAGAATTACAAGTAATTAGTCTTCACCTTTTCTTTCGTTTCAAAACCCACAAGGCCGTTGCTATGACAATCCCGCAGAGCAAGATGACACCGGTGACAGCAGGTAGAATTATAGTAAGACCTTGTTCAGAACCTTCGGGATTCATTTCACGTGCAGCTCCACCGCCACTGTCATTCTGAAAGGTGATCAAATTTAAAATCATATACGTGAAAAATATCAGACCCGTGACGTAAAGTTCATTATGAAATCCGCAGTGTATGCTGATGTGTTATGTTGTTATAGATGGTGATATCGGTTTTGAAACTTCTGATAAGAACAAATGACCACACAAATAATCATGAAAAAGAATTTAACAGTATATATATATTGATTGCATGTGTTTCGGCCAAAATTCTAACAAAAAATCATTAGATATTTCTTTTAAAAAGGTAACTTACAGTCCCTGTTTCAGTAGTAGTTTCAACAGTGGGATTGCCAGTGCGTTGACCCTTTTTCCCTGTCGACCAAGTCAACACCGGAGACTCGGGTGTAGTTTCAACAGTGGGATTTCCAGTGTGTTGCCGCGTTTTGCCTGTCGACCAAGTCAACATCGAAGACTCAGGCGTTGTCTCAATGGCTAAATAGTCGGTGCTAGATCGTACTCTTTCTGTCGTCAACATCAACTCCGGCATTTCAGTGGTGGTCAAATTTTCACCTAGAAAAAATAATCTGGCTGTTATGTCCACATGTTATCGTCAATACACACTTATTAAATAAAGATTTGAGAAATGTCATTACACGTATGCTCTTATATGATGCATTATTTTCTTTATCTCTTGCAGTTAGTCCAAAGTATGATCCTCATTGTAAAGAACCAAATCATCATTATCGTGTCATCTATGATACTTGATCGAAACATTTTTTTTTCATTAATTCATAGGTTGAGTGAACAGAAAATCTTTCTGCAAGGGAGACATGTCAATATAATAGTGACTGTAAACTCCATTTCTAAGTCTCAGTCTTCAAGTCATGTATGTGTCACGAATGTAAATATTTTTTAGGATTGTTTACATTATATCTTGTTATTTTCCAATTTCTAGAGCGAAGGAAAGATAACCCCTGCCAGTAAATACAACCTAAGATAGCCTGTAGATAGAAACGTGCTTTCATGTCAATGTTGGCGACCTTTTACTGTGTACTGCTAACCCCAAAATCTGTTCTCAACTTTTAGACCAAAATCTCAGTCTACTTTCACCCAAGATAAATCATAAGTGGCCCAAACAAATTAAACATTGCGCCCTTTTTTATCGAAGAAAGATACGGCTAATGTTTCAGGCGAACACCAATATTTACCATATTTCAGTGGAATACTATTAATTTCACTTGAATTAAATTAAACCATATATTTGGTCTTAAAGATTAGACCGATTCTTGGGCTATAGTTCTTTTGCGAAATCGGCCCCGACGCCAGAAATCGTTAGGCAGCAGACTTTAGGTGTGCACTCATTCTAAATGTTACATAAGCAAAACGAACTTTCATACACAAACAGTGTCGTCGACTAGTAAGTCCGTTGATAAAAATGCTACGGAAAATAGAAATAGAAAAGTCATTCACAATCTCTAATTTTTGAATATTTATCAGAATGATGAATGAGGCTCAGTCAACAGCCTTTTGTGAAAAAAGAAGATTATGATTAATCCAAAATAACATGCCTGTATAACAGAAGTTAATTATGCATCATTTAAAATTCACAATCTGCCGCACTGGTTTTTCGTGTAACTCTTCTTTATTTCTTGAGTTCTTTTATATTACTTAATATGTACTTAATAAATGTATTTCAAACAATTTGATCAGCTTAATGTGAAACGTCTTCAAGCAATAAATAATTACCATTAAATGAAAGTAAATATTGTTCAAAAGAAACTAAGAATTTACCTTGCAGACACCAGGCATTATCAAGAGGCCGGGCACAGTAACAACCAAGACCGTCAGAGAGCATGAAGAGGCCCTGACGGCCTTGGCATGGGGCAGTTGTGCACTGGCCAGCTGCTGGAATGAACACAGCACCAGGTTATACCGTGAATGTTACTTACAGTAGACCCATTAACTCCCGCCGCCAAATCATTACCCAGACCAAATCAAACGTGATCAGATTAACTTTAAATATTTCAAATTGAAATTGTGAAATTTTGCTTGCAATATAATCAACGTGAATATTAACATGCAGTCTCATGCGTTAGCACTCCTCGTTACCTTCTCTTAAATGTAGTTCTGTTTGTGCAAGCATAACTGATTGTAAGCACCTTCATGTATACTGCACGTCAAAGATCGTAAAAAGAAGTGCTAATGATATGAATAAAACAATGTACTACGTGAAGCTCTCTGGCTAATTCATGGCACAAGTATCTGTTGTAAAAGAAAAGTACACGTTATTAATCTACGGTCCTAGTAGAGGGTAAGAACTCACCGTCTGCGGTGTCATTGCATCCAACTACCTCCACCATCCCCGTACAGTTCTGTCCAGGATGTGCCCGGAGAGCTTGCCATGAATTGTATACAAGTATGGTCTGAACTGACCGCACGATGTTCCCACACCCGTCCTGCACGAGCCACGTGCGCTTGATGTCCACCCCACAGCCATTGTCAGTGGTCGAATCTGTGTAGTTAACAGTAATATTACTATACACAGCACACCGTTCAGAGCTTGTCACGTTTGGTGAACTGAGTTGTCCCATCAGGTATAAAATCACAGATGCATTACCTGAAATGGTGCAAAGGTAAATTAAAGTAGTGCATTCATTGATAGATAAGTTGGCCACAATATCAAAATTCCATGAACTGAATTGAAGACTAGAGGCTTAAAATTAAATATATCCATTTCTTTGTAAAACATATTTTACTTTTTTCACCTGAAACAATGACTGCATCTTTAGGAAAGTCCACCTCTGTCGGCAGGGAAGACAAATCCTCATCAATTACCCCATCTTCGTCATCATCAATACCATTAAATAGTTCTTCGTCAATTTTCATGTCACAGTCGTTATCAACGCCATCCGCCGGCTGTCCAGTATTCGGTACACATTTAGTCACGTCCAGATTAGCCAGTCTGAGACCTCCTGGGTAGCCATAAGAAACGTATTTGGCAAACCCGTATGAGAATACTGAGAAAGTCTGGATTGGAGAAATGTGTTCTATGCGATGTGTACCCGCAGTGATGTTCAGCTGCGCAGCAGTAAAGTCTGTTCTGGGAATGGCCAGCCATGTAACACCATTGAGAGCGGCTCCATCAACTCTAAGGCCTTCTTTAGAACTGCTTTTGATGACTATATTTACGAAGTTTTTGTAAACTTTATCAGGAAGATTGGCGGTAGCGATGGTGTAACTGGTCGAGAATTGTTCTATGGCAGGCACAACCATCATGTAAGGATCACTGTCCAGACCATCTGTGTCTTGGCTCTGCGTAAACTGCAGCACCATAATGGGCTTACTGGCATTGACAAACACAGGAACGTTCTTCGACACATTGAATTCATAGAACCCGGATCTATTAAGAATTAAACGCGAAACACCGGTTATGTCGACCACGGTGTCATCAGTACTGCCTACAACGCGGATAATATCCCCACTTTGCCGGTAAGCTGATGGAACAACTGTGAACGTGTAGCCCCATCTATCGACTGGATACATATATTCCACCAAATGATCACAACTAAATGAATGACCACACGGTACTTTGGCGCATTTATTACCTGACATTACTGCCAGTGGTTTTGATGAATTGATCCTCGTACCTGTAATGTCGCTGGTAGATGCGATTTGAATGGTCTCAAGTCTGTTCAGAGTAATTTGTGTTTTGTAATTTACAGGGTTGCCCATAACTATGATATCCGTGCCATTAGCAGGAGTTATTTCTATATGCGTATTGTTGTGAACGCCAACAAGTCCTACAAGCGCAGGAAAATTACTTGAACAATCGCTATAGCTTCCAGCGATGTACTCCTGTCCAAGAATATCCACAGGGAGAGCTACAAATGCATCCAAACTATAAGGTTCTGCATTGGAACCATAGACAATGAACTCTTTGTCAGCAGATAAACGGACACCTTTGAAACTTCTGTTTGTGTCCTTCATTGCAAAAATATCAGGAATATTTACCCTGGTTATTGAACCCCTACGTACGCTGACTGTTTTATTACTTTGTGGGAGGTGATGGAGATAGGATGAATGGGCAGTAATGTGAACTTGGACTGGAGAAGGGAAGTCGGTTGTAAGAAATACATTTAGGCTGTCATTATTTATGAACGTGTTGTCCATGAAAGCTATGATGAATTCTTTGCCGCTATTATCAGGAACATCTGAAATGAAGTGCAAGTGAGGTTGAAATAACTTATGTGGTCATTTAAATGCTTCTTATTTTCATCATAGTTCTCATTATTAAAGGACAAAAGACAGGTTGAACACCAGTTATCATCAAGAATTGTAAATTGAAGAAACATTTAAAAAATGCTGAAAAAAAAAAACAAACATGTTTGTTGGTATTTCTTAGCTTTCTAAATATCATCTTCTCGATCAACAATCCTTTTAATCGGTTCACCTCAGGGAGTGATCTGAGTTTAATTTTGTAACCTATATCGACAACACCGGCATTCAGATGATAAATATAGTCAAATAAATAAGCCTACCTATGTTACAGTTCACCAACAATCCAAACGAAAGAACGCAAAAGCAAACGGTTAACACTTCCATTCCTTTCACCCCAGGGTGACTCCGCTTTTGAACTCCGGGAAAATTGTCGGGGACATACCACCTGCATTAAGTACTTATCCGTAATATATACAGAGTAGGTGTAAAACTTGTGTACAGTTAACTCTGGTAATTGCTTTTTATGTAAAGAATTCTCCTCCGTGAGATGTACACATTGTATTATATCTACATATCGGAAAGCATGTCTCTTCACATAACCTCTTACATTCCTACTTTCTTGTAATTTGTCATTTAATATAAGACAGCCTTCTTAAAAGAATCACGAACTTGTGAGACACTGCATACCAGTAAGCCACCTCTGTTTATAAATTATATCAGTCGCTGATAAGACTTAGACCAAACAGCATCCTGTACTAGAATATACATCTTAAACAACCTTAAACAGAAAAACGCGTGGGGTCTGATGAAAGTCACCTTGGCAAAAATGACATCATTGTGTGTTTTATCAGTGGTTGGTTTATAAAATTTTGCACGTCACCATCCATTTCGCACCTACCCATAGTTTGAGTCCATAGGATCCTGAGATTCGAGGTGATTTGAAGAATTGCTTCGTTCTTCTGCCTTGCCAAAAATTGAGGTACATGTATAGTGCTATGCCAGTGAGATATGTTGTTACAGGTGGGGTGGGGTGGGGTTCCCCCTACCCTTCCCCTTTATCCTCTATTCCCGCCCAGAATATCCAAATAAAAGTAACCCCGTCGAAGCTGCAAATAATCATTTAAAATACAGCCCCAGTTCACCTAAGCTCGAAAAACGATGATACTGAATGATGGGTGATCATAATTACAGAATGAACGATGCAGACTGTCTCATACTAGAAATGAATCAAAATAATAATAATAATAATAATATTTTAAAGTTTTATGTGTAATCTTTAACATATAACCCACTAAAATAATAACTGCAAATGACTTAGGAAATTTCAAGAAACCTCTATTTTAGCCGAATAATAGTAATTTATACAGTAGATCTATAGTAACTGAAAAGCATTCCTGTTTTCATTTACCTTTAGGGTCTTTATCTTAGATTTTTAAAACGCAATTTTTAAAATGTTAATTCTTTATCTTTAAGGCGCATACATATATTTCAATGGAATACACCATATAAAAATAAATGATTATTTTAATTCTTTTTCTATGTAGGATGTCATAGTGCTGCCGCTGAATTTCGATATTACCAGTTCAACTGTCTCTAAATGGCCAAGTGATGTTATTGACAGCAGATAAGTTAGTAGCATCTTTTGTTTAAACACTAAACCGATCAACCACGTAAGTGAACAGAATGCGTAGTGTCAAGTTTCGTACGGAAATCCTATCTCCATGCAGTGACAAATATTTTCGGGTTCGAGTAGACAAAATAATAGGACCGTAGGTTGCACAGGCGGTAGGGGTTACATAAAAAACGGGAAGAGTTTATATAGCATATCTATGAAAAAGAAATTTCTTTACGGATCTTCATAAATTCTTAGCCTTTTCCTTTAACCCAGTCTTTTACATTTCCGAAAGTACCGCAGGAGGTTCAAATAGATTGGTTTTATGTATTTTAGGCCTTGGTATAGAAATAAACGTTGAGAGCTTTGCGACAATCGAAATTGGTCCTTTTCAAATCGAAGAATCCACTGAGACAGCGAATCCTAACGGATGACGCACACATACATGTTTTAAAGTAACAAGCACAACGATCTAATGGACCGACTCCTGGATATGTAAATGATACCTACCCTTAGCAAAAGGCCTGCAGCAAATTTGCAACGAATTTGCAGGAAATTTGCTGCAATATTGCTGCGAACTTTGCTTAGGGTATGCAATCTTATAATTAATGAACAATATGACAAGACATATTCTTGTTTTTTGTGTCCTTAAATTCAGCACTTTAATTTTAAAAATACATTTGAAGTCAAATTTTGGCCACAAAAGCTGACCAAATGGCAACATATAGTTTCAGATAGTATAACTTAGAGAAAACAAAAGTTAATCGTTTCATATATTACCCAAAAATGATATTCAATCGGATAATATAATATGCCCACTTTCTGTGTTGTAAACATGTATAAACGGGCAGATAAGAAGTCGGATAAGTAGGTCAATTTACCTGTAAAAATTGAAGAAGGTGCAGTTTTAAGCTCTACTACTGCTGATCGAGTGATTAATTGGGTTTATCTCTTGGCACTCAGCCTCTCTAGTCGTTTAAAAAACAAGCAATAGTGGTTAATAATACGCATTACGGGGAATTCATGGTGGGTTCTATACACTGAACATTAAAATGGTCTCGCCTGCTGTTGTGTGACTCGTGAAATGCTTTTTAACATACTATTTTTAAATATGAAGTTTATTTCCCTGAGTGCAATCTTGGGACCAATTATATATGTTAAATGGTTTTTTATGATTATTAAAATATTTTTCTAATAGGATGGACCATGATTAATTTTCATGCGAGTAAAAAGAACCACAAAATCACGTGCGACAATAACTCGGGTTATCATATAGACTCACGGCTTAAATAATGTGGGGCTATCGCACGTACATGTATTTCACTTTTGGATTTTTTAACCATTTTCACGTTTGAGTGAAAAAAATGTATTTGCCTAAATTAAACGGTTTTGAGAGGCTAATTTAGCCTTCCCTGAACATCGCAAGTTCAAATTGGTGCCCTGCAGTATTTTATGAATCAACCACTGATAAAACTCAGACAATGATGCCTTTATATGAAGGTGGCTTTCAGCGCTCACCACGTGTCTTTCTGTTTGATATGGTTCAAGATACACATTCAAGTACAGTATGCCGTATCTAAGTTTTATCAGCGACTGATAGAATTTATAAACAGATGAAACTTACTGGTATGGGGTGTCTAGCAAGACCATGTATTTAACAAATCTGACTTATATTTAATTACGAATAAGAAGAATAGCGAACATGTAAGAGAAAATGAGAAATGACATGCTTGCAGATATGTTGGAATAATACAATTTGGATATCTTATGGGTAGCAATTTCTTAAACCAGAAGAAAAGAAATTTACAAAGTAAAAGTGTAAAGGTGTTTTACTTATACCCTGTAAATATTACAGTTAAATACTTGAAGCAGATGATTCACCGCAGACAATTTTCCCGACGAGAAGTCACCCTGGAGTATAAGGAATGGAAATCATAACGGCGTTTTTTTGCGTGCTTTCACTTGGATTGTTGGCGAACTGCGATATAGGTAGGCTTACTCATTTCTGTATTTGAAATGAGTGAGTGAGTGAGTGAGTGAGAAGACCTCGAAAGTAAAGAAGTACCAAAAGCATGCTTTTCCAAGTGATAATGTTTGTGGTTCATTTAGTTTGTTTTGCCTGTTTCAAACATTATGCAAAGTGTTACGTCAAAATGATGAATATTTGAGGATTGGTCACAAATGGGCCCAGTGACAAATGTCTAAATGTAAGGAATGATGCGGATTACGCGCTCTGCGTCCAAGCAGCACAAGTAGTAATAATTACGCCTTCGCTTTTTATAATGGCCTATGATTATAACTATACTAAACTTTAAAGAACATTTTATCCCGACACTTTTAATTGAGAGCAACGTTTGTTAAGATACTTCATGGTATATTACCACTTCATGGGATAAATGCTCTGATTTTACTGTCAAATCGACTTCATAGGATAAATTGCGACTTCATCNAGATAGGCCTGTCCTAGCCTTACAGATTTCAACATTAGATGATGCTGTTGTTTTGCCTGTTATGCACCTTCAGGATAGTGTAACGGCCTGGAAAGCACACACACCCACATTATTCGATAATTTTGAGATCCATGGTTGTATTTATCCCATGTTGCACATAGATTGGAACGGTATCTGTCTTTCTAATGACGAAATTGATCAATCGATTACTCTTTTCAATCCGATTCCCTTAAAATACTGCCAAACTTATAAGTTGAAAAATATGTTTGCTCAGCCATTCTTGCACATTTAATTATTCAGCAGTGCAGTTGGCTATACAAGCTGGATATCATGCCTGTTGAAGTTTTTGTTTAATATAGTTCCTCCGAAAAAAAAAAAGCCGACCTCTTGCGACACTGTTCATGCATTGATGAGAATTTCAGGACAGAATTCTTGAATGAAGCTCACTCCTTTGTTATGATTAATGTTTTAATATTTTATCTTTAGAGATAGACATATTTACTCATCTTAATATTCATTTCTTGATAATTACTCAAAATATATCAATTTTTTTAGCAGTCAACTTATTTGTATACTACTTTCATAATAATTTTCGTTAAAAGATATCATTATGCGGTAAAATTGTAAGGGTTATGGTTATGATATTATTTATTTTCCATTTTATCCTAGTAACCGTATTTTATTCAGCTCTCTATAATTATTCATAGATACGATGTTACACTTGACGTTCCGGTGCGATAATTGTTAATGTTTTGATAGCATCGTCTTAGTCTTTGTGAAAAGAGCCATCGCTTTTGACACAGATTAATCATTTACTTTTACTTAAAATTTATTACCATTCGCTTATTCATTTTAGTAGATTAATTGCTTCATGTGTCTATTTTTCTTTTGTTTTTTTAATTAGCTATCTATCAAGTTTTATAATACTTTCACATGTTATATCGATGCAGGTACATGTACACCGGTTCTATATAATCGTCTGAAGATATCACCTGGTGTTGTGTGTGTGTTTTATTTTACATATTTTAGATTTAATTATTTCTAGTTAGTTTTGCAGGAGCAAAATCTTCTAAGGCCCGACGGACATGTAACGCAGTTGGTAGCAAGATGAGCTTTTACATAACATTTAGTAATTAAAACTTCTGTGTAATAGACCAATGCCACACCTGGCTTCCTGTGAATATATTAGTCACACCGCTGTCATCTCTATTTTTATCTCGGATTTTCTGCAAGAGCAATTCCAAGTGATTATCCTTTAATCTCTCAAAGGTACAGAGAAATCTTAAGCTATCTTGAAAGTCGGTGTTGGACGGTGCTACCTTAACTGAAGATGCAATTGTGACCATCGAGCCTTATGAGATTATACATTCGAAGGGCCGCACACGTATTATAGTAAGCGCCCAGTATTATGTTTATTAATCATCAATTACGGGTGAAAGTATTGTTTTATCAACGAGCATAATATAGAATAGAAGTTTAAGGCCAAGTAGCCAGTATAACTAGTAACTGTTTGTATAAAGAGAATTATCCTGTCACCATCAGGCACGGTAAACAGTGACCTCACCCCCAAAATTCAGTATAAAGGGCGTCCCGATTTCTACACCAGAGAACTAACGCTAGACCGATCCCAGGGACGTCAGAGTGACCAGCAACGCCGAGAGCACGAGAGGGAGACTGAGGACTGAGGACGGCCGGGTCAATCAGAGCCTAGATCGAGGGAACGGTTGGGTCACTGTCTTACCGTAGCGCTGTGCCTACCTGAACTAGATGTCCCTGTATATGTAACGGGTTAAAGTAATAAACTGTATTAATAGGGAAACCTATCCTAGACTGTTGTGTCATTCTTACGAACCTCCGCGCACACGCCAAACAACCGCACCGGCCCCGTTACAATTGTGTCACAAATGTAAATATTGATGTAGGTTTGTTTACATCATATCTTGTTATTTTCCTATTTCAAAAGCGAAATAAAGATAACCCCTGCCAGTCAATACAACCTAAGATATCCTATAGATAGAAATGTGCTTTCATGTCAGTGTAAGCGACCTTTTACAGAAAAAAGTTTCATGATGTCAACGGCCTGTAAACTACTAACCCCAAAATCTGTTCTCAACTTTAAGACCAAAATCTCAGTCTACTTTTACCCAAGTAGCCCAAGCAAATTAAACATTGTGCCCTTTTCTATCGAAGAAAGATACGGCTAATGTTTCAGGCGAACACCAATATTTACCATGTTTCAGTGGAATACTATTAATTTACCTTGAATTAAGTTAAACCATATATTGGTCTTAAAGATTAGACCTATTCTTGGGCTATAGTTCTTTTGCGAAATCTTTAGGAAGCAGACTTTAGGTGTGCACTCATTCTAAATGTTACATAAGCAAAACGAACTTCCATACACGAACAGCGTCGTCGACTAGTAAGTCCGTTAACAGAAATGCTACAGAAAATAATTTAAAACTTAAGAAATGAAAAAATTATTCACACTCTCTAATTTTCGAATATTTGTCGGGATGATGAATGATTTTTTCACTCAACAGCTTTTTGTGAAAGAAGATTATGATTAATCCAACATAACAGAAGTTAATCATGCATCATTTAAAATTCACAATCTGCCGCATTGGTTTTTCATGTAATTCTTCTTTAATGGGATAATAACTCTTCGTTTTGGCCAAAAATTAATTTTCCTGGAGTAAACAACAATTTTCCCATACTAACCAATGGTTAATGAATCCATTTTTACATTCAAAGTTAGTCCCTGTTTTCTTTTTTTTCTAAAAAGTTTTGTTTTTTGTTAAAATCTTTTTAGAGATTATAACAGAGTACAGCCATTAACGGAGGTCACATGATCTGAAGGCAAGCTCAGATATCAGAATAATAGCTATCACTGCCGTTTTTGTGGTAAAAAAGAATATATTATATTTCTATGAGTTGTTAACAATGTTTTTATTGTGAAATATAGATATCATACGAAGTGTTATTATCCCTTTAATTGTTATTTTATATGTACTTAATAAATATAGTTCAAACAGTTTGATCACATTAATGTTAAACGTCTTCAAGTAATAAATAATTATCATTTAATGAAAAATAAATATTGAAAGAAACCAAGAATTTACCTTGCAGACACCAGGCATTATCGAGAGACCGGGCACAGTAACAACCAAGACCGCCAGCAAGCATGAAGAGGCCTTGACTGCCTTGGCATGGGGCAGTTGTACATTGGCCAGCCGCTGGAATGAACACAGCAACAGGTTATACTGTATATGTTACTTACAGTAGACCCATTAACTCCCGCCGCCAAATCATTACCCAGACCAAATCAAACGTGATCAGATTAACTTTAAATATTTCAAATTGAAATTATGAAATTTTGCTTGCAATATAATCAACGTGAATATTAACACGCAGCCACATGCGTAAGCACTCCTCGTTACCGTCTCTTAAATGTAGTTCTGCTTCTGCAAGCATAACTGCTTGTTAGCACCTACATGTAGTGCACGTCAAAGATCGTAAAAGGAAGTGCTAATGATATGAATAAAACAATGTACTACGTGAAGCTCTCTGGCTAATTCATGGCACAAGTATCTGTTGTAAAAGAAAAGTACACGTTATTAATCTACGGTCCTGGTAGAGGGTAAGAACTCACCGTCTGCGGTGTCATTGCATCCCACTACCTCCACCATCCCCGTACAGTTCTGTCCAGGATGTGCCCGGAGAGCTTGCCATGAATTGTATACAAGTATGGTCTGAACTGACCGCACGATGTTCCCACACCCGTCCTGCACGAGCCACGTGCGCTTGATGTCCACCCCACAGCCATTGTCATTGGTCGAATCTGTGTAGTTAACAGTAACATTACTGTACACAGTACACCGTTCAGAGCTTGTCACGTTTGGTGAACTGAGTTGTCCCATCAGGTATAAAATCACAGATGCATTACCTGAAATGGTGCAAAGGTAAATTAAAGTAGTGCATTCATTGATAGATACTGTAAGTTGGCCACAATATCAAAATTCCACGAACTGAATTGAAGACTAGAGGCTTAAAATTAAATATATCCATTTCTTTGTAAAACATATTTGACTTTTTTCACCTGAAACAATGACTGCATCTTTAGGAAAGTCCACCTCTGGCGGTAGGGAAGACAAATCCTCATCAATTACGCCATCGTCGTCATCGTCAATACCATTAAAGAGCTCTTCGTCAATTTTCATGTCACAATCGTTATCAACGCCATCTGCCGGCTGACCAGTGTTCGGGACACATTTAGTCATGTCCAGGTTTGCCAGTCTCAGTCCTCCTGGATAGCCATAAGAAACGGATTCAGCAAACCCGTAGGAGAATACTGAGAAAGTCTGAATAGGGGAAATATGTTCTATGCGATGTGTGCCCTCAGTGATGTTCAGCTGAGCAGCAGTAAAGTCTGTTCCGGGAATGGCTAGCCATGTAACACCATTGAGAGCGGCTCCATCAACTCTAAGACCTTCTTTAGAACTGCTTTTGATGACTATATTTACGAAGTTTTTGTAAACTTTATCAGGAAGATTGGCGGTAGCTATGGTGTAACTGGTCGAGAATTGTTCTATGGCAGGCACAGACATCATGTAAGGATCACTGTGTTGACCATCCGTATCTTGGCTCTGCGTAAACTGCAGTACCATAATGGGCTTACTGGCATTGACATATACAGGAGCGTTCTTCGATACATTAAATTCATAGAACTCAGACCTATGAAGAATTAAACGCGAGATACCGGTTATGTCGACCACGGTGTCATCAGTACTGCCTACAACGCGGACAGTATCCCCACTTTGCCGGTAAGCTGATGGAACAACTGTGTACGTATAGCCCCATCTATCGACTGGATACATCTGTTCCACCAAATGATCACAACTAAACAAATGACCACACGGTACTTTGGCGCATTTATTACCTGACATTACTGCCAGTGGTTTTGATGAATTGATCCTCGTACCTGTAATGTCGCTGGTAGATGCGATTTGAATGGTCTCAAGTCTGTTCAGAGTAATTTGTGTTTTGTAATTTACAGGGTTGCCCATAACTATGATATCCGTGCCATTAGCAGGAGTTATTTCTATATGCGTATTGTTGTGAACGCCAACAAGTCCTACAAGCGCAGGAAAATTACTTGAACAATCGCTATAGCTTCCAGCGATGTACTCCTGTCCAAGAATATCCACAGGGAGAGCTACAAATGCATCCAAACTATAAGGTTCTGCATTGGAACCATAGACAATGAACTCTTTGTCAGCAGATAAACGGATACCTTTGAAACTTCTGTTTGTGTCCTTCATTGCAAAAATATCAGGAATATTTACCCTGGTTATTGAACCCCTACGTACGCTGACTGTTTTATTACTTTGTGGGAGGTGATGGAGATAGGATGAATGGGCAGTAATGTGAACTTGGACTGGAGAAGGGAAGTCGGTTGTAAGAAATACATTCAGGCTGTCATTATTTATGAACGTGTTGTCCATGAAAGCTATGATGAATTCTTTGCCGCTATTATCAGGAACATCTGAAATGAAAGTGCAAGTGAGATTGAAATATCTTATGTAGTCATGTTAATGTTTCTTATTTTTAGCACAGTTCTCATTATTAAAGGACAAAAGACAGGTTAAAAACTGGTTATCATCAAGAATTGTAAATTGAAGAATCATGTAAAAAATACTGAAAAAAATAAACAAATGTGTTTGTTGGTATTTCTTAGCTTTCTAAATATCATCTTCTCGCTCAACAATCCTTTTAATCGGTTCACCTCAGGGAGTGATTTGAGTTTAATTTTGTAACCTATATCGACAACACCGGCATTCAGATGATAAATGTAGTCAAATAAATAAATAAATAAATAAATAAATAAATAAGCCTACCTATGTTACAGTTCACCAACAATCCAAACGAAAGAACGCAAAGGCATACAGTTAACATTTCCGTTCCTAACACCCAAGGGTGACTCCGCTTTTGACCTCCGGGAAACATTGTCGGGGACGTTTCACCTGCATTAAGTACTTCTCCGTATTATATACAGAGTAGATGTAAAACACGTGTACAGCTAACTCTGGTAATTGCTTTTTCTGCAAAGAATTTTCCTCCGTGAGATAATGTATAATATCTACATATCAGAAAGCATGTCTCTTCATATAACCTCTTACACTCCTACTTTTCTTGTAATTTGTAATTTGTCATTTAATATAAGACAACCTTCCTAAAAGAATCACGAACTTGTGAGACACCGCATACCAGTAAGCCACCTCTGTTTATAAATTATATCAGTTGCTGATAAGACTTAGACCAAACAGCATACTGTACTAGAATGTACATCTTGACCAACCTTAAACAGAAAAACGCGTGGGGTCTGATGAAAGTCACCTTGGCAAAAATGACATCATTGTGTGTTTTATCAGTGGTTGGTTTATAAAATTTTGCACGTCACCATCCATTTCGCACCTACCCATAGTTTGAGTCCATAGGACCCTGAGATTCGAGGTGATTTGAAGAATTGCTTCGTTCTTCTGCCTTGCCAAAAATTGAGGTACATGTATAGTGCTATGCCAGTGAGATATGTTGTTACAGGTAGGGTGGGGTGGGGTTCCCCCTACCCTTCCCCTTTATCCTCTATTCCCGCCCAGAATATCCAAATAAAATAACCCCGTCGAAGCTGCCAATAATCATTTAAAATACAGCCCCAGTTCACCTAAGCTCGAAAAACGGTGATATTGAATGATAGGTGATCATCATTACAGAATAAACGATGCAGACTGCCTCATACTAGAAATAAGTGAAAATAATAATATTATTTCAAGGTTTATGTGTAATCCATAACATATAACCCACTAAAATAAGAACGGCAAATGACTTAGAAATTTCAAAAAACTTCTACAGACCTATATTTTAGCCGAATAATGGTAATTTATAGGGTAGATCTATAGTAACTGAGAAGCATGACTGTTTTCATTCTTGCACAAATTATACTCAATTGCTATAAGTACCTTTAGGGTCTTTATCTTAGATTTTTAAAACGCAATTTCTAGAATGTTAATGTTTTTTTTATCTCTAAGGCGCATACAGATATTTCAATGGAATACACCATATTAAAATAAACGATTATTTTTATTCCTTTTCCGTGTAGGATGTCATAGTGCTGCTGCTGAATTACGATGTTACCAGTTCAAATGTCTCTAAATGGCCAAGTGATGTTAGTGACAGCAGATAAGTTAGTAGCATCTTTTGTGTAAACACTATACCGGTCAACCCCGTAAGTGAGCAGAATGCGTAGTGTCAAGTTCCGTATGGAAATCCTATCTCCAGTGACATATATTGTCGGGTTCGAGTGGACAAAATACATAGGACTGTAGGTTGCAGAGGCGGGAGGGGGTTATGGAAAAAACATGAAGAGTTTATGTAGGGTATCTATGAAAAAGAAATTTCTTTAAGATTCTTCCTAAATCCTTCCCCTTTTCCTTTAATACAGTCTTTTACATTTCCGAAAGTACCGCAGGAGGTTCAAATAGCTTGCTTTTATGTATTTTAGGCCTTGGTATAGAATTAAACGTAATTGTTGAGAGCTTTGCGTTAATCGAAATTGATCCTTTTCTAATCGAAGAAGCGACTGAGGCAGTGAATCCTAACGGACGACGCACACATACATGTTTTAGAGTAAGAAGCACAACGATCTAATGGGCCTATTCCTGATTATGTAAATGATACCTACCCTTAGCAGAAGGCCTGCTGCAAATTTGCAACGAATTTGCAGGAAATTTGCTGCAATGTTGCTGCGAACTTTGCTTAAATTAAGGTATGCAATCTGATAATTAATGAACAATATGACAAGCCATATTCTTGTTTTTTTTGTGTGTGTCCTTAAATTCAGCACTTTAATTTTAAAATACAATTGAAGTCAAATTTTGGCCACAAAAGCTGACCAAATGCCAACATAGTTTCAGATAGTATAACTTAGAGAAATACCAAAAGAAATCATTTCATTTATTACTCAAAATGATTTTCGATTGGATAATATAATATGCCGACTTTCTGTGTTGTAAACATGTATAAACGGGGCAGATAAAAAGTTACATAAATACGTCAATTTACCCGAAAAATTAAAGAAGGTGCAGTTTTTAGCTCTACTATTGCTGATCGAGTGATTAATTGGGTGATGTTAGTGACAGTTTATTAAAACCGGATTTGACGGGTTACTTTAGCATCCCATCGATCCCCTTAAACATTACAAAATCGAAATGGTGCCCCGCAAAATTTTATGAATCAAACGCTGATAGAATTCAGACAAAGATGACTTTGTGTGAAGGTTGCTTTCATCGCTCCCCACGTGTCTTAATGTTTGAGATGGTTCAAGACACACATTCAAGTACAGTATGTCGTATATAAGTTTTATCAGCGACTGATAGAATTTATAAACAAACGTAGCTCACTAGTATGGGGTGTCTAGCAAGACCATGTATTTTACAAATTTGTCTTATATTAAATTACGAATAAGAAGAATAGTGAACATGTAAGAGAAAATGACAAAAGACGCGCTTTCGGATTTGTTGGCATAATGCAATATGGATATCTTATGGGTAACAATTCTTTAACCCAGAAGAAAAGAAATTTACAAAGTAAAACTGAACACATATTTTACTTATACCCTGTACCCTGTAGGTATTACAGTTAAATACTAAAAGCAGGTGATTCATCGCAGACAATTTTCCAGGAAGAGCCAAAGGAGAGATCACCCTGGGGTGTTAGGAATGGAAATCTTAACAGTTGTGTTTTGCGTTCTTTCATTTGGATTGGTTGCGAACTGTGCCGTAGGTAGGCCTATTCATTTTTATGACTGAAATAATGGGCGATCTAGCCGAGATGGATTACAAAATAAAGTCTAGTCGTTGTCTTGAGTTAGTCGATTAGAATGATTGGTGTGAGCGAAAAGATAATATTAAGGCGAAAGTAGAAAAATACCAACAGCTAATTTTGTTCTTTCCGCTGCTTTAGAATGATTTATATATAACTTGTGTTCAATGGTACGATGGTTCAAGCTATAATAATAAAGCACTATGCACTAAGCGCTTTTGCCAAAATCAAGCACACGTTCATTTTCAATTTAGATGTTCCTGATAATAGCGGCAAAGAGTTCATCATAGCTTTCATGGACAATGCGTTCGAAAGTGCAGTCAGTCTGAATCTATTCCTTACAACCAACTACCCGTCTCCTATTCAAGTTCGTATATCTGCTCATCCATCCTATCTCTACCGCCTTCCACATCGGAGTAGAACAGCCAACGTACGTAGAGGCTTAATAACGAAGGTTGAAATTCCTAATAGTTTTGCAATGCAGAACTCGAGCATAGAGTTTAAAGGAGTCTATTTGTCTGCAGATGAAGAGTTTATTCTCTATGGTTCCAATGCAGAATCTGCAAGTTTGGACGCATTTGTAGCTCTCCCTGTGGATATTCTTGGGCAGGAATACATTGCTGGTAGCTACAAATCATGTGCAGATACTCGTCCGGCACTTGTAGGGCTGATTGGCGTTAACAACAATACACAGATAGAAATTACTCCACCTAATGGCACGGATATCATAGTTATGGGCCGCAGTAAAAGTTCTACAACAGTGATAACTCTCAACAGATTGGAAACCATTCAAATCCAATCTAATAGTGACGTCACTGGCACAAGAATAAATTCATCAAAACCACTGGCAGTAATGTCAGGCAATGAGTGCGCTAACATTCCCTGCGGAGTTCATGCTTGTGATCATTTGGTGGAACAGATGTATCCAGTCGATAGATGGGGCTACACGTTCACAGTTGTCCCATCAGCTTACCGTCAAAGTGGGGATATTATCCGCGTTGTGGGCAGTACTGATGACACCGTGGTCGACATAACGGGTGTGCCGCGTTTAGTTCTTCATAAATCCGAGTTCTATGAATTCAAAGTATTGAAGGACGCCCCTGTGTTTGTCAATGCCAGTAAGCCGATTATGGTGCTGCAGTTTACGCAGAGCCAAGACACAGATCATCTACGAAGCGATCCGTATATGATGGTTGTGCCTGCCATAGAACAATTCTCATCCAGTTACACCATCGCTACCGCCAATCTTCCTGATAAAGTTTACAAAAACTTCATCAATATAGTCATCAAGAACAGTTCTAAAGAAGACTTGAGAGTTGATGGAGCCGCTCTCAATGGTGTTACATGGCTAACCATTCCCGGAACAGACTTTACTGCTGCTCAGCTGAGTGTCACTGCGGGCACACATCGCATAGAACACATTTCTCCTATCCAGACTTTCTCTGTATTCTCCTACGGGTTTGCCCGTTACGTTTCTTATGGCTATCCAGGAGGACTGAGACTGGCAAATCTTGACGTGACCAAATGTGTGCCGAATACTGGTCAACCGGCAGATGGCGTTGATAACGACTGTGACATGAAAATTGACGAAGAACTGTTTAATGGTATTGACGATGACGACGATGGTGTAATTGATGAGGATTTGTCTTCCCTACCGCCGGAGGTGGACTTTCCTAAAGATACAGTAATTGTTTCAGGTAAAGAGAGGGGTGAAGAGGGGTCACGTTTCTTATTTTTAAACCCATTCTTCTGAATAACCAATGATACACTTGTCTTCACCTCAGTTTGTCGTCATATATTCTTTTATAGGTGGGTTTTTGCATAAATTCAATTAGCTTTTGATTACAGCAATATTTACTTCTAAACATTTGTGGTTGTAATTTGCAGGTAACGCGTCAGTTACCCATACCGTAACGGCTGAAGCTGGCACCCCAAATGCCACTGGCTCTGAGCGCTGTGTTGCCTATCGCGATATCACCATCAACTTCACAGATTCGATCAATGACAATGGCTGTGGTATGGACATCCAGCGCACGTGGTTCGTTCAAGACGGGTGTGGGAACATCGTACAGGCGACTCAGAACATGTCCGTGTACAGCTCGTGGAAAGCCTTCCGAGGAGACCCGTCATTTGATTGTACTGCTGTGCTGCAGAAAGTTGGCTGCAACCATAGCACAGCAGGTAGGTTTAAGAAATCAACTTATCGTGATACAGCTTGATAAAAATAGAGGTAAAGACAATATATTTCAAGGAAAATTCAGGTCGCAATGACATAAATGATCATCAACTGATGCTTATATTTACTGCACATATGACTTGCTTTGTGCCATATCTTTTGCAATGGTACCGTTCCAATACTAAGTTCCAGAGATTGGTCAATGCACAAATAACCCATGCGAAGGGAATAGAGGTCACTTTTCTCTTGTTGACGGTTACAAGTGTAATTGTGTTCTGCCTGGGGGCGGTGCTAAATGTGTTAAAGGTAGGTGAACGATACGACGTCTTGAATTCTTGATGTTATCCTTTTCTCTTTCTGTAACTGCTTTCTAATATTAAAAAAAAAAGTTGCGCAAATTGCATAACCTCTCCATGCCTTTTTTTGTGTGAAACATACAGCATCGGAGTTTTATGGCGTCAACCCTAGAATGTTTTCGAAGCTCTATTAAAAAAGTGGTCCTTCCCAGTCCAACTGAATTAAAAGGTCAAACCTCACACTGTTGTCATGCGTCGTTCGGACAGATCACATACAAAATAGCTCACTATAAAGACGCACGTGTATTAGTTCCGCGTAGCTGAAAACTGTCCCTGACTTAGTCTACAGTGATTGGACTAACTTGGTAATTTTAACCATTGCATGACAGAAACGCTTTAAAATTCTTACCAAAGATTTAATTTGAATTAAAGACGATTAAAGGTAAAAGACAAGCTATCTTGGCATTTTAATTCCATTTAACTTATTTCAACTTTTGACATATGATAACGGAGGGAGAAGGATAGCGGCTATTGTCAAAAAGCGTTAATTACCTGAAGTTAAAGATGCATGTAAAAGGTATATTTTTCTGACCTAATGACTAATGACCTAATGCTCCCTACATCAATGACCTTGTCTGGATCTCCATTATCTTTTTAGATAAGTGCGTTGGTGATCTTTGCTACAACGGAGCTGTGTGCATTAAGAATGAGACGACTTACCGGTGTATCTGTCCAATAGGGTTCCATGGAAAACACTGTGACCAAATAAGTAAATACTGATAACTTAATAAGTAAGACAAGGTTGAGAAAAAGGAAATGTATTTGCAGTACAGTTGAATAAGAAGACATTTCTCCACATTTAAAACGGTTTAAGCCGAACAAAAGCGTGAAAACTCACGGAGGTACGAATATATATTCTACTGCAATCAACCATCAGTGGTAGGGGACAGTTTTCTTTCGTGACTGCATCTTGTTTTGTACATTCAATAACTGCCTAAGGGCCTCCTTTGTCTTTTTAGATTGGTGTGCTGGTGATCCTTGTCTCAATGGAAGTGTGTGTATCAACAATGAGACGACTTACCAGTGTATCTGTCCACCAGGATTCCATGGAAGACATTGTGATCAAATAAGTAAATATTGATTACAGGTCTGGGTTTGACGTATTTGCTGTACACACCCATGTCCATATTTTCTGTTCTATCTTTGAGGATTTCGGAGCCAAGTAGACTTGTACAGTTGGCAGGCGATTTGTATACTTTCCATAATGTTTTAGGAGAGACAATGTTCAGTTGTCTACTTGTAATACATGCATTTCTTTGAAGCACGCATAAGTTGCAAAAATATAAGTTAGTGTTGTGGAAAATTCATGACTTTAGCATAGTGGAGGACTGATGTCTGGAATTAACTATCTAATATTACTGCAAGACGTAAAATATATCTTGATCAGGCATTTTTGTGCTTTTATTCCCTATCCTGCGAGAGAAGGCAACATGGCAAGATAAAAACATCGAATGCAAATGACTCTTATTAAATATTGTTAGAAATTTAACAAGTTCATCTGATTCCAGTTGAAAATGCCCGTGCAGCTGCCCAAAAGACGAGCCCTGGCAGTATCGCCACTGTGGTACCTTCTGTCACAGCAGCTGTAGTGGTGCTGGTATGCGTGGTTTCCATTGTCGCTATATTGTGGAAGCGGCAACAGAAGAAAAGGTATCTCGGTTCTGGTGCTGTCTGCTTTTTGCTAGTTTTAGGGGCTCAAAAGTTGGAAAATTGTTTTAATTAAAAAAAGAGCATGCATATAAGTTAATTTGCTGGTCTTATTTTCAAGCTTTTAAATCTTTAAATCTTTATTCGATCATTTAGCAAGTTCGATCATAAACATTTAGCAAGTTCTTTAGCTATTACTGGTATGTTCATTTCAGAGGATGGCTCAACAATGTCTTCTTTAGTTATTGGTGGAAAAACTAAACTAGACATTGTTCTCGCTACAAATGACGACCCCTTTTATTTTCACACTTGTACTTATTTATTCAGTTATCATTTATTTGTCTGATTATCTATTGTCTGTTTTGTTTTTATGAGAGGATTGCTGAACGTCTACTTTCCTTATTTATAGGAAAACTAAACCTGCCCCGAATGATGCCCCTTTGGATCAAGAGGAACAAGTTGACGTAGAAGATGATGATGAAGAGACTCAATGTTCTTCTCCTTCAAAAGCCGTTATCGCAGACCCCCCAACAACTGCCCTATTCCCAGCCACTCCTGGCTCAGGCTCCGAAAGGTTACACACCGGAAGCATTGAGAATAGTGAGGGCGACTTGGACCAAGATAAGCAAGCTGACACAGAAGGTGATGATGAAGAGACTCCGTGTTCGCCTCCTTCAGAAGCCGTTATTGCAGATCCCCCGGCAACTGCCCTGTTCCCAGCGACTTCTTCCGGCTCAGGCTCCGAAAGGTTACACACCGGAAATAGTGAGAATAGTCATGTCGACTTGAAAGTGATCGATCATGGTTATACGGCTTCAGGTGAAGAAGCACACCTCGTCGGAAGTTTGATGCAAGCCCTCCCTCGGCGACTGCCGCCTTTGCATACATAAAATAACTTAAAATGCAACAATATCTTTGGGTGTTGTGATTATTCGCCATATTTTATACAACAAGAATAAGGATGGGCTGTACATTGTGTATGCAAATTTCTGCCTCGACACTGAGAGGGGGCAATTAATTTTTTTTCAGTGGTATGAACATGGATAACATGTCCCTTAGAAAGCAAGTGACAATTGCTTGGGATGTATTTTTCTATGTCAGGCATTGTATACCTCTCAATCGTCAATTTCTGTCTGGACAGAGACACGTAATTATAGAGCAGTGGACAGCATTCTTTTGTTTGCTGGAGAGCTGTAAACAAAATAAGTCAATATCTGGACTTTTAGGTGTTAAGGGAATGATGACATATCGAACTAGTCGATTGTCAATTTCAAGCTGATTACAATAAAGCACGTTTGCTAGTTCATCACGTTGTGATAATGTTTGAAATTTGATAATTTCGTTTTCGTGTGCCTGTCAATTTTCTTTGAGATCTTTCTGTGACAATAAGCATACGACTACTACTGTGTTAACTTGATACCCTCTGTGAGGGTAAGACTCAAACTGGTTTTTCAATCTTATCATTTGGCAAACATATATAACAACACAGCTCAATTTAAATCGGCTATTATTAAGGGTTTTGTTATACTAGTACTCACACGATGCAGTGTTATGCTGTCGTTCTTTTCATATCAAATAAGAAGAACTTAGGCTTGGGGAACCCTGTTGATTAGATAAGAGGGACACCAGACAGGTAATTCAGCCCAATTGGGAAAATTATGAGATCCTTCACTTGTCTGGTGCTTAGAAAAACTTTCAATAAATATGGATACGATTGTGTCAACTTGATAACTTCTGTGAAGGTACAAATCAAACTTGGTTTTCAATCTAATGATTTCGTTAACTAAGCAACATCTTCAAAAGTAGGCAAAGCACTATTTGCGATTTTGTGATATTCAGTCGATGCAATGTAAAATTTACATCAAACCGTCTCTCAAGGAAAAAAAACTTGTTGGATCAAGACTTTTCACAATTAATAATCAACGGCAATCATAACAAAACAAGAACGAGAATTTGATAAATAGAGAAATTTTATCTCTGTGGATTTGCTCGTATTTCTAGTTTGTGAGACTTTCACCGCCTCACGCGACTTTCTCCTTTTGTCTTAGGGGCACATACGGCTGTTATAAAATACCTTTATTCAGGTCTGTTAGGAGCCATGGCCCTTACCTCTCTCCACTGGTCCTTAAGGTTTGGGGTCACAAATCTTTTCCCCTTTTCTTTCTATTTTAACNTGACGTAGAAGATGATGATGAAGAGACTCCATGTTCTCCTCCTTCAGAAGCCGTTATCGCAGACCCACCAGCAACTGCCGTTTTCTCAGCGACTCCTTCTGGATCAGGCTCCGAAAGGTTACACACCGGAAATAGTGAGAATAGTAAGGGCGACTTGGACCGAGAGGAACAACCTGACGTAGAAGATGATGATGAAGAGACTCCATGTTCTCCTCCTTCAGAAGCCGTTATCGCAGATCCCCCAGCAACCGCCCAGTTCCCAGTGACTTCCTCCGGCTCAGGCTCCGAAAGGTTACACATCGGAAATAGTGAGAATAGTACGGACGACTTGAAAGTGATCGATCCGGGAGAACTGGGTCAAGGTCATGGTTATACGGCTTCAGGTGACGAAGCACACCTCGTTCAAAGTTTTCCGAAGCAACCGCTCCCCCGGCCACTGCCGCCTTTGCATACATAAATAACTTAAAATGCAACAGTAGCTTTGGGTGTTGTAATTATTCGCCACATTTTATATAACAAGAATAAGGATGGGCTGTACAGCAAATTTCTGCCTCGACACTGAGAGGGGGCGTACTATTTTAAGATTGTCTTTTTTTATGGATTACATGTACCTTAGAAAGCAAGAGACAATTGCTTGGAATTCCTGGAATTTATTTTACTATGTCACGCATTGTATACCTTCCAATCGTCAATATCTGTCCGGACAGAGACACGTAATTATAGAGCAGTGGACAGCATTCTTTTGTTTGCTGGAGAGCTGTAATCAAAAGAAGGCAACATGTAGACTTTCAGATGTAAATGGGCCTATCAGGAATGATGACATATCAAATTAGTCGATTGTCATTTGAAGCGGATTACAATAAAGC